TAAAAATTTTCTGGATATGATCTCTTGTATATTTTAATTCTTTTATTACTATAATATACTGATGATTGTACAACTGTGATATTTGAATTTTTATGAAAATTGTGAATATTTAAGATTTTAGTTTCATCTCTTGTATGCTTTGGATGTGACAGACTTGAATTGCCTTCAAGAGCTACCGTATAGTGTTAGAGGTTAGTCTATCCCAGGGGGGTGAAATGGTTGCCTAACACTTATAGTTGATTGTTGTTTGTGAGAGCAACCACTATTATTTACGTAAGTTTGAGGCTGAGAGATGTTATACCTTTCTTGGAACTGATTCGTCAATGTCGTGGAAGACGATATACGTCATTCCAAAAGTTATTTGTGATGTGTCTTGCGGGAAATGATTGAGATTGTGTGGTTGTGGTGTGTGAACGACGTTGAATCATTGTGTAGATTTATAAGAAGCAACCAACATACATGAGAATAGAGATGAATCAACATACATGAGAATATGAGATGATATTACTAAGTAATTTATTGAATGCTTTAATATCTTGCATGTTTATTCATGTCATGGATTTACTGTAATCCGTACACTTGAAATCTTTACAACTATAATGGTTTTACTCTCAAAAATTTATATATGCTATTTTTCAAAAGAGATTTGCCTTCTTTATGTTGTTTTAAAACTTTGTTGGGATTTGAAAGAAATTTCCTATGGGCTTTTACTCACTCCCTATAACCACACACTTACAGATTTTGACATAGAAGATGATGCGATGTGGATGAGCAAGTTGACTACGAGACGTTGGAGAATCAAGATGTGGACCTTGTTTTGGAGGAATATAGTTGTTTTACTTTTAGTTTATTGTTTGAAAGATTTTTGTGAAACAAGGTTTCAACTAGTTTAATTCTTTCGCTGCTAGATACTATTTGATTTTGAATTATAAGTTGGAGAAGTTATAATGTTTTATCGACTTTAGTGTTGATTCTTTGTTAGATGGATGAATGGTTTATTATTTAATAATTGTTGTAGTTACTCTCATGATTGGATAGTTTTTAGATAGTTGTGTTTCTAAGGTAGATTTTGGGACGTTATAAGTCATGACCTGCTGAGAAAAAAGGAGTGGCAAGTCACTTTGCTTTGTACTAAACTTTCGGCAAGTCATTCCTAGCTCTAATACATTCCCTACCACTTCATGCAACACCCTAATAAACAGGAAAACATCCACAACCGGCATTGCAAACTCGCGCACACCGATACACAAAACTATCATCACAGATACATAAGTTTGTATGTTTTCACCACAGATATGTAGGCATAGATTGGTATATATTCTCATATATCACACTCTTACAGGGTGTTTGATTGGTGGCTTAGCTTCATCAATGTGGGAATAGAATCTTTCGGAGATAATGGTGAGTGAAGTATGGTGTTGGACTTTTGTAGTGGTCGTGCTTTGTGATAGGATGTGCTAAATTAGGGAATGTAATATGTCAATGAAGATGGCTAGATTCTAGATGTTTAAAGAGATCACAATATATATATATATATATATATATATATATATATATATATATATGTGTGTGTGTGTGTGTGTGTGTGTGTGTGTGTGTGTGTGTGTGTGTGCATTTAAACCTTGGCCATCATGCTTGTGCCTCATACTTAATTTCTTTATTTCTGATGACTTGTGAACTCAACCATCGTTGTTATTTTGATTTTATATTATGAGGTTTGTATGAATTTAAAACAATCATTAATTTGTCAACCGAATGTTGAGAGAAATATGTGACTTTCTTTGACAGAGTACAATGAAAAACATAATTTATATAACTAGTCCCAAATTAAAAAGATAAATTTAACCAAAAGACTGCAAATGAAGGATGGCCAGCAAGATTCTCAAGGGTAGGACATAGCTAGGATAACAAATGACAAACCCCAAGAGGTAATTGAAGTGGTCACAAGAATGAGCCGTAAACCCAAACGTCCTGAGTTTAAATCTTGGTAACTCTATATTCTCATAAATATCCTAGTCCCGGAGGGGATAGTTTGTCGTTGACCGGACCGGAAAAGGGATAGTCGAGGTGTGCGTAAGTTGGCCTAAATACCCTGACTATTGAAAAAAAAAAAAAGGATAACAAATGACAAGTAAGAGTGATACCTGCATAGCAACATTAAGTAAGGATCAGAACCTCTCTTTTGAAAACTCCATGTGTTATTTTCTTACGTTTACTATACCCAATTTTTTATTTGAATCTAGTGCTTATGTTGCCATTATAAAATGCTAGATCGAACATGGAAGACTGAAGCAAGAAGTTTTTTTTCGAAAGGAAAAGCAAGAAGTTCTTTACTGAAGGAAACTTTTTTTTTTTTTTCATTTCGAAAAAGGTTATGGCATTAACCTCTGATTATTATAAGGGTTTTTCATATTGGAATCTATTGATCATTAATTCATTATTTGGCTAATGCGTTGTGGTTGGAATATATATAAAATAAACAAATCTTATCGAAAGATTTTTGTCCCACATTCAATAAAAGAAGGCTTGATTCCCTGGTAAAGAGTTATTTGTCTTGCTGATTAATACTTCATTGACTCCATTCCAATAATATCAAGCACTCATAGTTGGGTTCCTTTCCTCAAGTTTATCTCTGGTATGTGTACATACATACATTGATACATAATTTATATTTTTATCTATATATTACATCAATTTGCATTTTGTACTTATTGTAATTTGCTACTCTTAGGTACGATTCATGTACCATGGGTGATGAACTAGTGTTTTCCAATTTGACTAATTAGAAAGATTAAATTAATTGAGTTAATCAATAGATTGGACAAATCTTCTTTATTGTTTATAATATGGATTTGTGTCCCTCTGTGTATTGGAAGGAGGATTTATGTACTTTTCTGCTATGTTTTACTTGCTTTCTTCTTTTTTTTTTAAGTGACGTTTATCAAATTTTGGTGCATGCCATGACAGACCTCGTGACCTCCCATTCGAAGGACTAGGCCATTGTGGTTAGTATTCCCATGGCGACTTAACACCTTCAAAACAAGAATGTCTCTAGAAAAGTCAAAATTAATTGATTTATAACAATCCCTTAAACATTCGAGTAATGAAGTACATATCAATAGTTCATGAAAAATTACTTACTAAATGAATATGGATGGCTATATCAATATGTCATTGTAGGTAAAAGTTAAAAAAGTCCTTGATCCAACAACCTATATTGATTTATTAAGCGAAAGTTGGTAAACTTTTTGGTAAGTCTGGCAGTGTTAAAAACATTCTGAATCTTATTTTTCATTGACATATTACATTTTCTGATTTGGCACATCATATCTGAAGTATTTCCACTACAAAAAGTCCAACGCCATACTCTATCGTTATCTGTATAAAGATTCTATTCTCATATGCATGAAGCCAAGCAGACAAGAAATACCCTGTAGCAGTGAGACATAGGAGAATATATACCAATGTGTGCCTATATATATGGAGGAAACAACTACCTAAAAGAGCAAGGACTTGATAATAAAAAATTATGTATGTGTCACAGATACTTTCCTGTCCAAAAGAGTCTTGCATGAAGAGGTAGAGAGTGTATTTGAGCCAGAATGACTTGCCGAAATTTAAGTGCAAAGCAATGTGCCTGCAGCTCATTGTCTTTTCGGCGAGTCATGCCTGGCTCTGGTCTGCTCTCTTCTTCCCATGTAAGTCTCTAAAGACTTATTCATGGTTGAACCACTCCCGACATGGGTGCAATGACATTAGATGAGGTTGAGCTACCATTTGTTTCTTTTGGATTGAAAACTAAACTACCATCCCCCCTCCCTCTCTCTCTCTCTCTCTCTCTCACACACACACACTCATTTTATTAATTATCTATTAGTGTTTCTTAATTATGTTGTTCTAAAAAAATATTCTCACATTTGCCTATATAGGATTTCAAGCGATTTTATAATCGACTCAATAATACGGGCAAAATATCTTATTCGTATACATATTCAAAGAAACTAATATTTGACAACTAAATATTGTACAAAGTTGGATTAAAAAGTTTTTATCTGTTATGATACTGTAATCTATCTTTAAATACTACAATCAACAAAAAAACCTGTAAGCAGGGAGTCGTAATCAAATTATTATCAAAGTTGCCAAAGTTTTGCAATATACGCTTTGAGAAACCAAGAGCATGACAAAATGGAATGCAACTTTCAAAGCTAGACGTAAAATGTTCACAATGAAATGGTATCTTGCTCGTCAACTTGTGAGGTTTTCCAATGCTCTCTCTCTCTCTCTCTCTCTCTCTGTATATATATATATATTCTATGTTCTAGGAATTAAACAAGAGTAACAGTGTCAACCATTCCAAATCTTTTGCTGGGATCATAGATGTTGTGTCAATTGAAGAAAGTTTTTAGATGAGATGAGAATGTTATGGTTGTGCTTAGTTTTATTAGAGAGTTGACAAGATTTAAAGACACCCGTCATTATCTATATAGTCTAGATAAATATAAGTGATAAGTTATTCATCTTTATCTTATATATTTTTCACTGTATAAATAATGTAGAATTTCTTTTATACAATCACAAAAAACTATTCTTTATCATTAATACCATTCGTTGATTGAGCAGATAGGTATTCCAAAGGTGTGTAACAGTAACACAATCGGACAACAAATAAAAGAACCACCACCTCCATAGCTCTCTCACGATGTAGGGGAGCTCAAATCCTCAAATTCCTCAGATCCTCGAACAGTTTGCAAAACCAAAGTCCATACCAATAGTTGTCCTCTTCAAAGTGGAAAAGGGTATTATTCTTCATTAACTCCAAAGAAAGTTGCCAAAAAATAATTAAATTCAAAAACTTTTATGTTAGAAATATTTCATCGTTATAAATTTGAATTTTTCTTTTTTTCTCAAAATATAGCAATCAACAAAATTTTTTGTTTGTATTAAAATTAGTTTTTTGTGCCCCCATTAGCATAGAAAAATTTGAACGGGTCTTTTACCGACAACTGAAGTAAATTGGTTGCTGGCTGCTTGCTCATGGACTGCTGGTTGTAGAATTCCTCTTATGGATTTTGTTGTTGTCGTCTTGAAGACCTTGCATCCCTCTGCCCCTTCTTTCTTCCTTTTTGTCCTTTGGATGTCAAATGTCTCTCTTGTTGGTTGCTGGTTTTTATCCGGTGGTGCTGCCAGCTGGTTGCTGAGTTTTTGCTGATGCTTTATTGCTGATTGTTGTTGTTCCATGATGCTGATGTTGCTGCTTCTTGGTTGTTTTTTGTGCATATTGTTTTCCTTTTATTTTAGGGGTAGAGGATCTTCTTTTCTCCTGTTCAGAAGATCAATCATTCCATTGGATTTTCTTTTGTAAATTGTACACGAACCTCTTTCGATTTTTAAGATGTTCATCTTACTTACCCCCAAAAAAAAAGACTGAAGTAAATTGCAGCCAAAAACTTCATAAAATCTTTTGGGCGAATTGCACTTTGTATTTTGATAAATTTTAAAATTCTCATTTTACGCCTTCAAAAATTAAATTTTTTATATTATACCCTTAATGTATCAAAAGTATTATAATGTGATCCTTCTATTAACTTTTTGTTAGTTTTTGTATCTGTGTCAATGATTGGCTTTTGATGAAAAAGGTAACAATTATTTGCATTTGACAATGCCCACGCCGTCTTAAACAGGGGGCAATCTTGATGCACTCGTCGGCTGCCTCCGTGCTGTGCTGCCTTGGAAGAGTATGGTGGAAACATTGGGACCGACCCTTGATATGAAGAACAGAAAGAAGTCCCAACAAACATAGTGTCTAGAGCTAGGGCAATAATTATCCTGACATCAAAGTCCCAGATTACTTGGAAGTTATAATATTGATATTTAATTATAATACCTTAATCCTATGATTGGTACAGTCATATAATCAAATGCCGCAATTTTGCTAGCCTTACTCATATTTTATATTTCAACGCATGTTAGTCAACACTAATCAATAAATAGAGATATGGCAGTAGTAAATTAAAAAAAGAAAAAGAAAAAATAGATCACAGTTAGTTAGGGTCATACCATGTTTTGTTGTTATCTTAATTTTGTTTTCCGTTTCAATCTCTTGATTTGACAGTTTAAAAGAGTATTGTCAATGTGTGTCAACGAAATGTTGCTCGATTCTAATTATGTGTACTTATTACTTCGGACTTGTATGATGCATCATCCCTGCACATTTTCATTCCTACATCATTTCGTGCATGTTTTTGTATTTGAACCATATCGTTTCTTTCTTCTCTCAATTTTCATTTAGGAGGCACCGAAGATAACCACTCCATTACATGCAAACATGAGCAATTCAACTTTAGACAAGGATCTACTTTATTTCAAAACATTGTCTTCCATATTACTGAATTTTTTATAAACAGGGAGGTCATTTTCTACCATATAAGAAAAAATATATAATACCTAACATACTTAGTCGATTTAGACAGGAAAGTTTTAGAAGAATGCGTCGTGCTAACTAGCTGGAAATTGAGGATGCTTCTTGTTTTAGTCATCTTTCTTCCCCTGCTTCTTTCATGTGCTTTCTTTCAATGACAACAGAAGTAGGCACCTTTATTAGGTAGGTGTTTTGCTATTCTTGTGCCCAAATCCGTAAGGTACTTGATGCATCATGTATAGCAAATGACTACATGACAAATCAAGATTGTCGAAAACATCGCAAATTGGACATCAATCAGAGTTGATTCTGAGTGACAGTGTCAAAAAATTTCTAAAGACCCAATTCTGAAAAGCTCTCAAAAATCCAAGCAAAATTGAGATTTTCAACCCGTTATTTTTAAGCTAAAAAGTGACATTTATGACACTTTTTAGGCACTTTTCTATTTTATTCTAGTGTTTGGTATTTTCATAATATTGCTAATTGCTTAGATTTTCTAGTAATTTAGGACCATTAGGGTTTCGTATTTATATTGTATTGAGAAACTGAATTCGGCAACTTTGATTATTTTGAAACAAACTGATAGACGGATTCTCTTTTCTTCCAATTCACTTGGTATTCTTTGTAAATCAATAAACCTCTTAACGACTTCAATTTGGTATTATTGCGATAATCAACAAATTAAAAATTTTGTTGTTTAATATTGTTTATTTATCCACATTCGCCCTGCATCATCAGTACTTATTAAAATAGAATTGAACAAATAATAATCTTTAAATGAAACTGTTGGATTCTCTATTTTCCAGCACCACATAATGAATTATGCTTACATCCACATGAAACATTTGGTAATTAGTTAAACCTGATTGTGATGTCATTGCATCATGTAAAGAATGGCGTCCTCTTCGAGAAATAAGTCTCTAGAGGCGTGCATGGGAAGAAGAGAGCGGAGGAGAACCAGTCACGACCTGCCGAGAAAACGAGGAGTGGCAAGGCACTTTGCTTTGTAGTAAAATTTCAGCAAGTCATTCCTGGCTCTAATTCACTCTCTACCTCTTCATGTAACACTCTAATAGACAGGAAACATTCACAACCAGCACTGCGCACACTCGCAAACACGGATACACAAGCACTTTTGCATAAGTTTGTAAGTTTTTACCACATATATATAAGCACAGCTTGGTATATATTCTCATATATCAAACTCTTACATGGTGTTTGATTGGTCGTTCAGCTTCAGCAATGTGGGAATAGAATCTTTCGGAGATAATAGTAAGTGAAGTATGGTGTTGGACTTTTGTAGTGGTTGTGCTTTGTGATAGGTTTGTGCCAAATTAGCGAATGTAATATGTCAATGAAGATGACTAGATTCTACATGTTTAAAGAGATCACAATATATGTGTGTGTGTGCGCGCATGCACACATGTAAACCTTAGCCATCATTCTTATGTCTTATCCTTAATTTCGTTTTTTGATTTAATATTGTGAAGTTTGTATGTATTTAAAATGCTCAATCGAATATTGAGAGAAATATGTGATTTCCTTTGATAGAGCACAATGAAAAAATATTATTTATATATAACTGATCCCAAATTAAAAAGATAAATTTAACCGAAAGACCGCAAATGAAGGATGGCCGGCAAGATTTTCAAGCGTAGGGTATAGCTAGGATAACAAATGACAAGTAAGAGTGATAATTGCATAACAACATTAAGTAAGAATCAGAACCTCTCTTTTGAAAACTCCATGTGTTATTTTCTTATGTTTACTGTAATTTGTTTCTTTATTTGCAACTAGTGCTTATGTTTCCATTATAAAATGCTAGATCAAACATGAAAAACAAAGCAAGAAGTTTTTTTTTTCGACAGGAAAAGCAAGAAGTACTTTACTTTAAGAAACTTTTTTTTTTTTTTCATTTCGAAAAAGGTTATGACATTAACCTTTGATTATTAATTATAAGGATTCCATGTTAACATATACAGAATAAACAAATCTTAACGAAAGATTTTTGTCCCTCATTCAATAAAACAAGGCTTGATTCCTTGGAGTTATTCCTCTTGTTGATTGATGCTCCATTGACTCCATTCCTGTAATATCAAGCACTCATAGTTGGGTTCCTTTCCTCAAGTTTATCTCTGGTAACATCCCTACCCCTCCTGTTTTATTAGGTTATTAGTATTTTTCTTCTGCATGACCCAAAAAAAAAGAAGTATTTTTCTTCTTTAATTTTTGGTACAAACTAAACAGTCTACTCAATCTATATCTATACTATTTATAAATGTCAGCATTCGTGAAAAACTTTTGATTTCCTATTTTATCCCTAATTTTTATTATAAAGTCAATGATACCATATATTAGTTTCTTCTAATTTTTATTTCCTACACTTTTTTGACTTCTAAATTCTTTTAAACTCTTTTATTAACAATATTTTACTTCTAAATTATATATTACTGTCATTCAATTTTTATTTCTTATACCTAATTGACTTCTAAGTTTAAAATTTTTTTGAACTCATTTATACAACAATATCATACTATTACATTACAAACAATAGTATTACAATTTAATCAATTTCTTTGACAAAAATATAATAAATTTATAATTTAATTTGATGTACAAATACTCAATAATGACAATCTTAGAATAAAGATTTATTATAAATATAAAAGAAAATATCTAAGCGGTCGAAGAGGTATCTAAACAAATAACAGATTCAATACTCGAAAAGAGTAGAATAGATCAATAATTATATTTGATAATAATTAAAATAAAATTAATTAAAATTACATCATTTATGATTTAATTTAATTAAATATATAATTTAAAATTTTATAAAAAATATAATTTAAATGTATTTATGTGCAACGCACGTCGTTATTACTAGTACATGGAAAAGTAAGAAAAAGAAAATGATATTGAACAAGATGTAACAGATTAGAACTTTTAATCTTTTTTTATTTAGGATTTGAGTTCTTCTAAATAATACAAGCCTTTTATTCTGGAAGGTAAATAATTTTATTAACTTAAAAAAATATATAATAAAGCTCAAAACACGCCACGAAGGCATACAAAAGAGTTTTCTAAGGAGATAACTCTACAAAATACCTCAAAAAAATAAAATATTGCAATGTCCTTCAAGACAAAACCTACTAGAAAGCTCACAGAGTAATTCTTACTGTAGAATTGCTCAACTCACAAATCTATTGATCAATAGGCCAAAAAAATGTTCTGTTCTTACATGGGTCAAGCATTAAATGGATAAAATGCCAATCCATCTTTAACAATACAAGCTTTTCCTTATTGTAAAAGATACATTACTTTTTATTAAAATGCTCTAAAAATACTTTTTATTTTTTACTCTAACAACACTCATTTCGTTTCTCATTTTTACTATTGTGCCTGCCCAATATTGGCAGATGTGTGGCTTAAGGCACTATCTTTCCCTATGAATTTTTAGGGGTGATTCAATGGTTGAGTCTAATTATTGATAGTTCAAAAATCTCAAGTTCAATATTTTTTCACTCTCTAAGGGTGAGTCACCCATATCTTTTTGAGGGCATGCTCTAATTTAGCTCAAAACATGGTGGCCAGCTGATAAACTCGAAGGAATAGTCGGCGCAAATCTAAACATCTTCTAATAAAAAAAAATATTTCTTTCCCTATGAAATATCCTGGAAAGGTTCAGGGAGTGACACATTAAAAAGATAATTACATAGCAATATAAGTAAGGATCAGAACATCTATTGAAATTTCATGTATCTTAATTTCATAAATTTAATTTTTTTTTTCTAATTGGTTCCTTATTTGCAACTATTGCTTG